TATTTATTTGAGCTAATTGAAAACTATGTTTGTATTCCCATCAACAACAGAAAGGAGAAATTTTTTTGCTACCCTAGCCTTATCTCCCTTTCCTATAGACATATGCCAGTCAATTTCCCAAGGGAGTAATTTAATTTCCATATATTTTGCCACCCACCTACTTCCCTGTGGTTTGTTTTCTAATATGCTAAACTCATTGAGAGACATAATTTATCTCTGTTCATTCTTCAGGGTTGCACTGACTCTCCTTCCTTAGGCATTCTTACAATAAACAAGTTATAGTGTAGTCCAAACATTGATTTTTTAATCCGTCCTACAGGGACCCGAAAATGTCCTGCCTTGGTACTTTCCTGAAATTGAGAACATTTTTATTGGTATCACATCACAGTATAACCTGAATGAAAAGAAAGCCTTCACCATGTCAATTTCCTGCACAAAGGATTGATCTTAAGCAGTTTAGAAAGTCTTCAACTTTCTGGATGAAAAAAAAATTTATTTGCTGGGCATGTGTTAAAAATGTTGAGTTGGAGATTAGTTGCATGAGAGCTTTATTTCTGTATATTTGGCTGAAACTAGCAACTGATTCAGAGAGTCATTTTCTAGTCATGCAAGAATTGTATCCATTGGTTGATAACCTGAGCAGACTGATCTATTAAAACAATGGGATAGAAGGGCATTCGTACAACAAACAAAAATCCATGGTTGGACAATGCCTTTATTATCAGGGACATAAATGGGTTGTTTTTGTGTCTCCAGCACCTTTTTTGCACCCTTCATCCCACCTCTCACCTCTGAAAATTAGCCACCCCAAAAGTGAAATTCTGGAATTCTCCACACAAAAAAAGGGGAAGGAAGGCTTTATTTTAGGTTTTCTGGAGGATATGTCTAGTTTTATTTTAATTTTAAAAAGCAAATATATGATGTTTTGGAAGTGGGTACAGTCCACAGCAGGCTCCTCGGGGCAAAACTGGAACTCCTGCCTTACCAAAAAAATAAAAAATAAAAAAATCATGATTTTTGTAATGTCAGAAGAATTATCAAGCTTTTCACTTCTCCCAGTTTCTTCATAAGATCAGATAGTCCAAATAAGTAAGGGGTGAAAATCCTTAAAATTACAAAGAGAGCTGTTGAAAATGATTATTTATCATTTCTTTATTCTAGAATTTATGTACCACCCCACTATTCTGGTCGGTCTTATAAGATAACATAACACCTCCCCCCCAGAAAACAAAAATAATAAATGAGAAGAACTGACAAACCAACAAAATACAGATAGATTTTAAAAAACAAAAACAGGTGAAAGGGCTAAATAATGGCAATTGACCTTGGATCACAGAGCAGACTGTGGGAGAAGGATGTTTTTAAAGGCTTCCTTGAAAAGTATGCCTTTGAGACATTTTTTGAAACTCTGGAAGGAGGACATCTGCCAGATCTCCAAAGGGTGGGCATTTCAAAGTGCACAAGAGGTTAAATTACATAAGGATGTTGAATGTATTTATTGCAATAATTGTAATGCCTTATATTTCCAAATACACTCTGTTAGCTCCTAGAATGCTATTTTATTAGAAAGACAAGATTAAAATGTGAGAAATACATTTGGTGCTTTAAATGAAGATGGAAAGTGTGTTTCCCACCACACGGTCAATGATTGGGCACCTATCCACCCACCCACCCCAGCCATCAAATCATTGATATGAATAATCTTCCAGAGTGGCCAGCAGGATTACATTGTTCAAACCCTATATAAGAGGCTACGCCAAAGCTTCAGCAGTGAAGTTACGGTCTCTGAGCTGACCTCTCATTTTGAACTTGGAGGGAAAACATAAATGTTCATTGCCTTCTCCTGAATAATCAGTTCTTCCTCCCTCTAGGGGGCACCTGCATTGTAGATTTGACAAAAATGTATGGAACAGTCATTTGGGCTTCTCAATTCTGTAAGCAAAGCTTCTGCTTTAGAATAAAACCCAGCAGTATTTGTAAATCAGTTCAGCATACAGTTATAATCACATGGCCAGTGGAGCACAGCAGGTGAAATTTATGCTACCTGAATGAAAAGCCTGGAAGAAGGAGTCTGTGAAGATAATCCTTTGGGTCAAGTGCAGTGGTACTTTGCAGATTTATGGTCACGAACCTCAGATTATATCTCATAGCAACAAGGTGAGCAATGTCTTAGAGGGAGAGTGCCAGTATTTTAAACTTCTGGAAATGAAATTTGTAATAATTTCTGCTTTTCCGCCTGAGTCAGCAAAATTATCCTGTTAACTAATACCACCCATTTCAAATAAATCATTACGGTTAAGAAATGAGAATGATTTCAAGGAAAATGGAGCATCTCTCTTGAAGCTTTTAGGAAGTAGGTGGTGCTACCTCACCTACAAATTGTGCATCATAATAAGTGAGGCCTGGAAAATGTTGATTCCATGCTCAGGTGCCCACCAAACCATTTCTCTCTTTCTGCAAGTAAATGGAGCAGTTTTTTTCACTGCTTTGCATACGGTGATGCTGTGCCAAAAACAGATGGAAGGAAGGAGAAATTCTAGGGCTTCCATCTGACTGTAGCCATTTTTGTTCTGACAACTTTTTTGAGTGGAGTGGTGTCACCACCACCTTGTATATGAGCAAATGTCTGGTGGCAGAAATCTCATATCCCTCAAAGACCCTTCAGGAAACCTTCTTCATTTCAGAGAGGGGAAGTGGGTCACCCCTCCAACTGCTTTACAGGACTGGATAACAGGCCAGAAGAATTTTAGGTGACTGCAGCTATCACTCATCCTTTTGAACTCCAAGAATATCCTAGGGCCTAACCATAGGCAGAAAGTGAGAGAGATGACAAACGTTTTATTCGGAGGTCCAGGTTATGGGAATTTTGAGATGGGAGGGATAGCAATCTCATATGAGTGACATCACTAATGGGTAATCAGTTTGGCAAAGTTTGCCATGATGCTTAATGTTTTTGTCTAAATAGGACACTATGTTGCACTAAAGTGTGAAAACAACTCCAGAATTTTTATTGTTACTCATTTTGAATATTTGAAAATAGAAGAGCAAATGAGTAAAGCAGACATATAGATTGCTGGGGAGGCAAAAAAACCCCAAAAACATTGTGTCACTATATGCACAACTAAAGGTTTGGTGTGAAGCTACCAAAGTGGAGAAATTGGCATTTTTTTAAACTGTAGGGTTGAATCTGTTGTGAATTAAACTTCATACTTGAGAAACTCTGGCAAGATGAACTCCTGTAATTTTAAGTTTGTTTTTCAGAATGATAATGTCATGGTGTTCACCTAAAAGTAAAATGGTTACTTTTCTTGTGTGTTTCCAGTATTAACTTCAATTATTTGTGTTTTTTTTTTAATCCTTTCCCCATCACACAGAAAAGAGAAAAGCCAACATATTGGACCAGCTTACCAACACCAGTGGGACAATAATTGGAGTAACTTCTTGTATTGTGGTCCTTCTTATCATTATATCTGTTATAGTGCAGATCAAACAGCCTCGTAAAAAATTTGTTCAGAGGAAAACAGACTTTGATCAAACAGTATTCCAAGAAGTATTTGAGCCCCCTCATTATGAGTTATGTACTCTTAGAGGGACAGGGGCTACCGCGGACCTTGCCGATGTTGCAGAGGATTTTGAAAATTATCATAAACTGCGTAGATCATCTTCAAAATGCATTCACGACCACCACTGTGGATCACAATTATCTAGCACTAAAGGCAGCCGTAGTAACCTCAGCACAAGAGATACACCTATCTTGACAGAAATTCAGCCCCAGCCTGTAAAGCCCTTAATCCAGCCCATGAACAGAAGAAATATTCTTGTCATGAAGCATAGCTACTCACAAGATGCGGCAGATGCGTGTGAAATAGATGAAATCGAAGAAGTACCAACCACGAGTCACAGGCTGTCCAGACATGATAAAGCTGTCCAGCGGTCAGTATCCATAGATTTTTGATGAAGACCACTGGGTTCAGTCTCAGATATTTTCCCTGCACTCCATCACTTATGTGGCCATTTAGGGTCTGGGTCATTATTCTGGAAAGCAATTTATAATTAGCAAGCCAGATCTAAACATGTTGCGTGAATGAGATTAGCAGCTTCTCTCCAACTTATTTTCAATTTTTTTTCCTGGGCCAAAGGTGTGATAAAGGAGATTTGTAGTCAGGCTTTCTTGCATTGGTGATGGTTTTGTTTGTTTGTTTTGACTTATTGGCACTCCTGTATTGCTGCTTTGAAAATCAAGAAAGTGATAATTAACATCCTGTCACTCTAAAGCAACTCTTTGTAGGGAGACTCTTTCCACCCACAGCTAATAGCAGTTTTTAAGTAGAAGAATTTAGATCAAGGAAATTTCAAGTAAGCAAAGGGTTTTATATCCTCTCTTTAATTTTCAAAGCAGCCAAATGGGGCTGCTAAATTACTCACTGGTTGTTCTTGTTTTTAAGTGGGAGTTCCTAATAATAGTTCTGCATCAAATTCGAAGGGGTCATCTGTTCCTGTTCCTCCCTCAATACAGTTAACTCCTCATCACAAACATTCACTTTTTAATTTTTTTAAAAAAAATTGTCTTGTTTTAATCAGGAGCAGATTGGTGAGAAAAATGGGTCCCCCCCCATAAAACACAGCTTTTCTGCATGGCAACGATCAATATTTTGAATTATTATAATAAGATTTCTGTTGCTCCCTGGAGTATCACAAATTGTCCAATTTATTTGGCATTTACAGCATAGTTTATTTTTCATTGTTTTAGTCTGATATTCCTTTAGATTTCAGTATGAAAAAAAGGTAGCTGAGAAAAAAAAATGCTAGAATAATTCCTGTTTTAAATAATAACATTATCTTGCTGTGCTTTGCATCCTGAATGCCTGTAAATAAGAATGATCTAAAGTCTGCAACTAAATGCAAAAAAGGAATACTTGTGTACCAAGAACTTTGATACAAGCCAGGACCCTTTTATGCATGCTTTCTTTAATGTTCTGTTCACATGCCCCACGTGTTTCATTTTGTACATATAAGGCACTAGGTAGGCCAAACCCTCAAAGCATTCTGTCAAAGGCCCTATTACCTTGAAATGCAAAATGTTGATGGCATACTTTGTGGGTTGATCATGTTAACAAGAGCATTACTTTGTCTACCTGCATGCCAGTTTGAAGTGTGTGCATCAATCTGATAAAGGTCTTAAGATATACTTCAGTTAAGAATGTATATGCATATATTTCTTCTTCTTTTCTATGCAAACATTATTATGTTGAATGAAATAGCCATAACATTCCAGGTTTTGCCTCATTGGGTCTCTAAACAAACATGAATCTGAGTACAACACAACTAGGGTGTAAAAGACAAACTCAAGGTAAGTGGACGAATATATAGCTCCCAATTCACCATATCTTTCATCCCATTTGTTTTCATTAAACATGTCTGGTTGCTATCATTTGCTTTGTGTTTGTGTGTATGTGTGTGTGGGCATGTGTGTTTTGCTTTGTTTGAAAATTGTGTCGTGCTTTAAGCCAACAAAAATTTTTAGTTATAGGCAGGGGGTTGTTATAACTTTTACAGTGCATAGAATCTATTAAATCACTATCCACACATGCAACATACTGGTATTTATAACCTGCATTTTATGCTTGGATTTTGAACAGATACTTGCTTTATTTAAGAAAGTGGTATTTAAAGTATTTTGAGAGCCTAATCCACACAATGTAAACAGGAACCCTAAATTTAGATCTATCCATATTTACCATTAGTACCCAAGATTCCTTTAGGGAAACCAGGGTGGTATATAAAGGGTTATTCAGTATTATCCTCTTTGCAGCCCTATGTAGTTTAGGTCTTGTTGAGAGTCTCTTACTCGAAGTCAACTCACTATCTCCATGCAGGAGTGAGGATCACAACCAGCATCTTCAAAGCTGTATGTCATCTACTGCAATGGTCCTCAATGTTGGGCCTCCAGATGTTCTTGAACTACAACTCCCAGAAGCCTTCACCACCATCCCTGCTGGCCAGGATTTCTGGGAGTTGAAGTCCAAGAACATCTGGAGGCCCAAGGTTGGGGACCACTGATCTACTGCATTGGCTCATCATTCTGATGTTGCAGTGCCATTTATGGACAGTGCTAATTGATTCCCTGTACTGTAACTTCCCTGCACTACTGTTTGGGCTGTGCAAAGCACATGGCTCCCAAGCTCTACTTTGTGTAAATATCAAAGGAGAATTGTTTAATTGACAGCTGGAGTTTATGTACAATATCATGTCCCTGCTGTGAGAGAATCCCTGGCACCAGGTACTATTCTGATGCCAACAGCTGTGAATCAGGATGTTTGTTACCACTTAAAAGGCTTAGTTAAATTGGGATATGGAGGCATCTGTTGCTAACTGACTGTATCACCATTTAGAATTTTTTTTATATCAGAAAAATGCTTTCCTTAACAACTTGTAAGAATTTAACTTGTTCCATTTAGCTTTTCATTTTCACTTTGTTAGTACTTCTTCCCCAAAAAGTATGCCCCAAAGGGTATGAAGAATTTGGGGGCTTTTTGCTTTGCTTTTTTTTTTTTTTTTGCATGGGAAAATATTGTATCTGCTGATGACATCTTAGACTGGCACTTATGTGTGTTTTCAAATGTATGTATACATATTATTGACCCATGTAAGAAGGAAATGTAATTGTTACTAGATAGCATCATGCCTTTTTATTTCATTCATTTGAGATGCAGTAAACTCTTCCAACTATTGTTTATTTTATATGCAAAAGAGCTGAAAACAACATTATTTCATCCAATATTTTCAGACCTTTGGAAGCAGGATAGAGTCTCAGTTAATACCACTACATTAGTCATATCAAAGAAATTTCTTCCTTTCTCAGGAAAGTATTTCCCATCATCAAATTAACAGAATTTGGCACAGATTAAGTCCTTTTTGTCAAGGACAAAGGCCTCCTGATGATAAAGATTTTAATATGTGTGCAGCTTTATGAGGGAGTTTGTAGCATACCACTAAACCACTGGTCCTACTGTTATGTGTACCATTTGGGCTTAGTGGTGCTACTCCTATATTGCTCTCTGCCTTCTCCATTCATATATGCGCCTGGCAAAAACTGATATGTCCATGGAACATTCTACATGGCTTGATGCACTGGTGACATGTTACAGCTCACAACTGATATTTGTCACTTGAAAAGCAAATGGTAAGATCAGACTGTAGAGCTGGAGTTTGCTGGAGAGTTGGATGTTCATTAGTTCATCTGAAATCACTGAGTACACATGTCAAATGTTCAGTTATTTTTAAAAACCTTACCTCCAAATTCTAAGTGCATTGGCCAGAATCCAACTGGCAGTTTCTGCTTACATAAGGGAAATCATGTAGGCATTGGCAGCAAAATGCCACTCACTAATCACCATCACTGCTAAGGATACTTAGGAAACCCTGACAATGTTTACCATAAGTTGGAATTGACTGGATGCAGTTACTATTTATCATTAGCTACAGTCCTAGGTTATTATTATTTATTATTATTTATTTATATAATTATTATTTTAAATTAATAATTAAATGAATGAATAAATAAATAGGTGTGTGCCCAATTGTCCAATTAGGTATGTGCCCAGGAATGCACCCGGTACCTCTTAAATGAGTGGCATTTCTACACATTAGTACCTTATGTGTAGAAAACCCTGGAAAGGTCCAAAATAAATCAGGATTGACTTGACTGCATATAATTAATTGATTATTAATTTTGGTTCTAAGATTTATGCAGTTTTCAGAAATCTAAATTCAGCTAGATTCTGGCCATTTAGTTATAAATATAGCCCAATTGTCTGAGTATAACAGTTCCACTTGTACAGTGACTCATAGTTCTCCATATACTTGCTCAGCCTCCAAATCCTTGCATGCATGAATTTGGTAGAAAGACAGGTTTATGTGTCTCCATATGGAAGTACATCTAACTACATGTTTTGTTCCCATCTTTCTTGTAGTAGCTGGATTGTTTGAGTGTTATGTTCTCTTGTAAGCTTTGGTTTCTGTAAAAAGCTTCAGCCCTATTCAGGAATTTCCTTCTGAGCATGAAAGAGCAGGGCACTTGTGCTCCAGCCTCATCATTTCCCCTCCTGTCTTCTCTTTGTTGCTGGGGAATATGTGAAAATGTGCCACAACTAAGTGAATAGAGTTACAGAGTTTGGTGCATTCAGAAGGCCTGCCTTTTCAGGTCTTTCATTCATGTGCAATACTATTGTGCAATCAAACATATTCTTAGTTCCTTCTCAGGCCACCCCAGCAACAGAGAGAAGTCAGAAGAGGAGACAAAGTGCATGTCTCCAGCCCGCTGTAGACATTATCTCATAAGTGTACATTATCTTGTAACACCTGAATAGAGCATTTGTGAAAATTGTCAAAGTGTGTATAGGTGTAAAACCATGGCTGTGTGTGAATGGTTCATGTCCAACAGCTTTCCATAGTACATGCTTTCAAACAGCCGTGTTTCCGATTCCATGTTTTAAAGCACTGAATTCAAGATGTCCAGCAATCACCTTTCATGTGTACTTATTATTATGTGTCATGTCATAGGATTATTCACATTGAACTTGTTATATGTGCACTGTTTTCATTATGTAGACAGCTTGAGAATAGCGCGATCCTGAGTGATACTGAATGTGCTGCAGTGAATTGTGAAAAGTGTCAGCCCTGGGACTGCCAGCTAGAGATGTTCTGGATTCTGCCCACCTGTTCCAATTTCATGGGGGAAAAACACACCCCACCATCAATCAGTAACGAGTAAAATTAATGGATGGCAATAAGACTCTTATTACTTATCATTGCTACCATTTACTATTGTTATTCTTATCAGGGTTTTTTCTTTCTTTATATTTATTTTTGTTTTGTTGCAAAGAAAAAAAAATACCCAGTTTCAGGAACAAATGATAAAATCAGGTATTTATCCATTCACAATCACTTCTGTGGAAATATATGTTGGATATAAATCTAACAATAGGACTGAATTTGACACTGAGAAACTGATTTGCATGTAAGTTGCTGAAAATCCGAGTTGGCAATGCAACAATGAAAAATCCCTTTGATAAGGTACATTGTAAAAAGCATGCATTCATAATTACTGCTGTTCCTATCCATTTATTTGTGTCATATGCTTGCTAATTGTAACTTTTTATATAAAGATACATAAAATGATGTATAATACTTTCTTACACTGAGTTTTATAGTACTCGTTTCTTTACTGCAGCAAATAATCCTTTTGAAAAATCGGTTTATAATATAATATATTGGTTCACATCTAAGAACACAGGCCTGGAATATGCTTGTCTGTATTTTTGTAAAAAGCTGAAATCTTGCTGACCAGCCATGTGCCCCGAGAAGGAACAATAGGAATACCAAACTGAGGCATCTTCCAACCAAGCAGGCTGGTGGGATTTCAGGTTTTATAAAAGGGAATATGTGCACACACTCCTTATTTTTAGATAAGGCATGGAAGTCTTATGTGATTCCCCATTCATAAGGTTTGCTTTTGTCTGCATATGGATAATAATTGTACTGGAGTGGCTGCCTATAGAGCGGAAATGAAATCTGCTAAAAGTTTCCATCTGAATACCGCAACACTGAATGAGCAATTTTAAATTCTTTTTCTCCACAAAATTTGAAAACCAAGTTCTGTTGAGTTTAGACTTGTTGGCATCTCCTGTTGGTTTTGAACTCAACAGGAATGAATACCCAGGAGCAGTTTGCATTCACTTTCTTAAGTATTGTTGCCAAGCTGCCTTTATTACAGGGTAGATTTTAAAAGCTGTCAGGTGATAAATACAAATCACCAAGTAATGCAAATGAGCATTACATGGTGAGTTGTATTATTTTTAAATATCAAACACAAAATATTGAAAAGAAATAGCATTGGATGATATATGTCAGTAATTTGCAAAATATTCTATAAATGTGCCATAATATCAAAATATTTGACATCAGAATATAAGAGATCTGATTTTTTTTTTTTAAAAGAGAGAGTTACATTTGTTTCAGCTCTAAATATGTCCCATTTCTATTCTGAGCATCTATCAAAAGGCCTGTTAAGTTCAATGGGTCTTATTTCCAGGTAAGTGTGCACAGGATTATCCTAATGGTTCTCACTATCTGCCCTGCCTTTAAAAGTGAATGGTGTTTATCATATTTGCTTAATGGAAAAAGACACAAATGTAATCCAGAAGCAAATTGCATTGTGTTTATTGATGGCATTTAGTACTAGATACATGATTCATTATTGTGGTGCAGGATGAAGCAATTGTGAATTACTTTTTATGTGGGGAAACAGGGTTTTTGTAGAAGTTTGCATTTTGCATAGAACTTCGTGCTTTGTATGAAGAGATTTGTGCAACTGAAGGCCTTCTATAGCCTTTCAATAAGTCTGGCCCAATAAAAGAACATTGCCACATTGGCAGTTCCTCATATACAAACATGACTGCATTTGCAAATATGAAACAACCCTTCTGAGTGTTTGTCCTTTCCCTGACAGCCAGAGCCACATGTACATCTGCTACACCAGACTGGAAAATAAACTGATTCAGAGTAGCTCAGCCTCAATCTTCCAACAGCGTTGACCTTAAAATCTAGATGCTTTGATCCATATGGAGGATTTTAATATAGATGCATATATACTTGCTTGGATTTGTCTCTTCATTAGACAGCTGCCTCTTTTGCATTCTATTCAGGATGTCCATGTATGAGAAGTTCTCGATTCCACTTCTCATCCAGTATGTTTGGAGATAATAGCTTTTAATTTGTAAGCCTTGACTTTATCCAATGGAATACAAAAAAAAAGGAAGATGAAACAACAGTAGGGCCCCCATGTTTTCATTGATCCTGCTTTTGTTATTTTAACAGCATGTTGATACACAAAATGTATGGGGCAAATTTTTTTTCCCCTTGCTGCATATGAGCAATCATAATAGGAAAAGTGTCACCTGTTCAAATTTGTGTGTTGTTGGCCTTTAAAAGCATAGGAGTGGGACAAAATTTGGCATCTCTAAGGACCAAGTTGTATGAACCACAAGTGCTTCAGCTTCAGCTTAGGGTGGCCAGATGCAAAAAGGACAGCACTCCTGCACCTTTAACAGCACTACAAAAGGGGATTTCAGTAGTCATTGTTTCCATTAAGAAGTTTTACCTGCTGAAGTGTTTGTTTAAACAATTGTTAGAGGAGCAGGAGCCCTCTCCTCTGAGATCCATAGCGCTTTGCGTCTGCATGCATCATACTGGCCAAAATCTTGTTGCCAAATTATAGCCTTCAGTCCATTCTTTCCTGATAAGCCAAGTGTCCCTGCTGTGATTCTCTTGGTGTGCATATGCATACACCAAGGCAGTGTGTATGCAAGCTTTGAGAATCATAGAATCATAGAAAAGTGAGGTTGGAAAGGGCCTACAAAGCCATCAAGTCCAACCCCCTGCTCAGTGCAGGAATACAATCGAAGCATATCTGCCAGATCATTATCTTAAGTTTTTCTTAAATGGCTCCCGTGTTGAAGCACTCACCAACTCCTGAGGTAACTGGTTCCACTGTCATACTGCTCTAACAGTTAGGAAGTTTTTCCTGATATTCAACTGAAATCTGACTTTCTTTAACTTGAGCCCATTGTTGCATGTCCTGCACTCTGGGATGTTCAAGAACAGATCTTGCCCCTCCTCTGTATGACAGCCTTTCAAATATTTGAAAAGTGCTGTCATATCATATCACCCCTCAGTCTTCTTTTTTGAAAGCTAAACATGCCCATTCTTTCAGCCTTTCCTCATAAAACTTGGTTTCCAGCCCCCTGATCATCCTTGTCACCCTCCTCTGAACTTGTTCCAATTTGTTAGCATCCTTCTTGAAGTGTGGTGCCCAGAAATGGACACAATACTCAAGGTGAGGCCTAACCAGTGCTGAATAGAGGGGGACTAGCACATCATGGGATTGGAAACTATACTTCTATTAATGCAGCCTAAAATAGCATTTGCCTTTTTTGCAGCCACATCACACTGTTGGCTTATATTTAGCTTGTGAGCTACAACAATTCCAAGATCCCTCTTGTAGTTTTGCTGAGCCAGGTATCCCCCATCTTGTAACTGTGCAATTGGTTTCTATTTCCAAAGTGCAGGACTTTGCACTTATCCCTGTTGAAGTTCATTCTGTTGCTTTTGGCCCAGTGTTCCATTCTGTCAAGGTCATTTTGAATTTTGTTTTTGTTTTCTACGGTATTGGCTATTCTGCCCAATTTGGTACCATCTGCAGATTTGACAAGCGTTCCCTGCATTCCCTCATCCAAGTCATTAAGAAAAATATTGAAGAGCACCAGGCCCAGGACTGAGCCTTGGGGTACCCCACTTGTTACCTTCTCCCAGTTAGAGAAGGACCCATTAATCATGGCAGGGACAATGTGCTTAATGGAGAAGAAGAGACCAAAAGTTATGATTTGGCTTGTGCTAAGCAATTTTGACCACTGTGTTTAATGCTCCCCCTAGTTGTATAGTCTGGGATGTTTTCATATGAGAGTTTTCCATTTCATCTCCAATATTTATAATCCTTTTGATACAACACTGCTTTATTAATTTATGCGCAGTATATGTATCAAACAAAATTAACATCCCACAATTTCCTTTTTCATAGGCACTTACACAAAGGCTGAAATCCTATTGTTCTATTATGCAAACGGTGTAACTTTTGGAGAATTTGAATTAAGAAATTAAGAAATCTACATAGATACTATGTGCTGCATATTGAGTTGTGTGACTTCTCACACAACAGATAGCATCTACACAGATTTCTTAACTGGAGACAATTTGCCTCCAAAATTTACACATTTTATGTAGCAGTGCAGCAGGATTATAGCATTTTCATGCCAAGGGGAAAAGATAGTTACCATCTGATTGGGGAAATTTGTTCTTTTCTATTATGATGATCTATTTAAATCCCCTAATATTAGGCACGGATATACTGGACAACCTTGAGAGTTAAAATGTATTGTATTGCAATTCTAGAGAATTCTGCTGTATATCTCAAGAGGTGTAGTACGCAACACTCGTCCTTTTAAATTGTTCTTTTGGCCATCTTTTCTTTTTTACCCTTGCTTTTGGTGACAGAATCTCATTCTTTCTTTAACCATTTCGCTTTTCTTTCTTTTCTTTTCTTTTTTGTTTACCCCAAGACCATGGAAATTATGATCCATGGTTGCTCCAAGAATAATATTCTTCACTGATCTATTGATGTATATTTAGAAATGGGTGCTTGAGTTGTCATCATTTTATAGTTTAATGCTGTGCCATCATTTAGACTATACCTGTCTGTCTGCTTTTTTCCCATTTCTCCACTGCATAAGTGTTGTCTGGAGCTAAATCAGGAGAATGTTCACCAAAACAGATAGAATGACATTGTTCACCTGCGTGCAATACCGCTGTTTTGAAACTTCATCAACTCATTTTTATAAGAAGGTTTCAAATTGCTATTGCAAGAAAAAGAAGAAGAAAAGAAAAGAAAGAGAAAAAGTAATATAAAAATATCACACTTATGTTTTAGAATGGTTATTTTAAAAATATAAGAAGTGATCATGGCAGTCATGGAACAACAGTCTGGTTTACATTCCGTCTCTTCTTATACAAGAGCATTGTGTGACTATAATGTTATCAAATGTACAGCTTCTGTAGCTGCTGTGTCCAGTTCTAGTGATTCCATTACATGGTATGAAAGACTGCTACAAAGTAGAGGGCAGGAACTTTATGTTTTATTTGGTGGGGACAACTATCACAGTAATAAGAGTAAGCACGAGACGTATTTGATCAGCAGCCCCCAGAGAAATGGTCTTTCAAGCAGCCTAGAGCAATTTGGCAAGCATTCAAGTCTTCACAAAGACACAGTAGTGGGAATCATTCTTTGTTACAAAAAGTGGCACTAACCATGGATTGTCCCTTAATTAACTGACAAGAAAGGAAGTTTCTCCATTGCTCTACTCCTGGACTGCAGAGTGAGGTAGCAGCATAGCCTAATGAAGCTGATGGATGAAAGAAGAGCAAATGGCCCTCCAGAAGGCTGTAAGTTGTGGCAAATTGTTTCACTCATGCTTCTGCACATTTTTACCAAATGTTACAATTAACATTCAAAAGCATTTGACCCAACAAAAGCAACATTCTAGGAGTAACAAGTAACAGATGTTGTTACTTTATAATGTCATTATGTCCACAAATGTTCCCAAACAGGTTGCAAGTAATGTTACTTGTAAGTATTCCAGGCTCTGCAGTGTAGGCAACTGACTAGATAGCTTAGTAAGTTGGGTACCTGGCTGTGGAGCTAGAATTCAAGAATTTGATTCCCCACTATGCCTCTCAGAAGAAGAGACAGCCTGTGTAGCTTCAAGGAAGCTGCACAATCTTAGGGTGCCCCCAGAAAAAGAATAGAAAACTTTTTATGATCCATCTATACCTTACAGGATCATTGTATATCACAACTTGACAAGTAATTATTATTATTATTAAGTGTCATCTTCACACACAGTTTGCTTACAGTTTTGTGTGTTGCCACTGCTCAGACTTTAAAAGTGCCGGAACTCCAGATGCATATTGGTGGTGCAGAGCCTTCTGAATGATGCTTCCTATTTTTGCATGTAGTTCTAAATTTTCTGCCCTCAGAGCACACTACTGCAACACAAGAAATATATTACTTCCTTTGCAAGACAGCCAGGCAGAGCTATGGAGTTCTGCAAGGAAAATATAGCACT